AGTGCAGTAAGATTAGATCTCAATTACAGGAAAAAAATTATTAAAAATTCAAACATATGGAGGCTAAACAACACGCTTCTGAATAACCAACAAATCATAGAAGAAATCAAAAAAGAAATCAAAATATGCATAGAAATGAATGAAAATGAAAACACAACAACCCAAAACCTATGGGACACTGTAAAAGCAGTGCTAAGGGGAAGATTCATAGCATTACAGGCCTACCTCAAGAAACAAGAAAAAAGTCAAATAACCTAACTCTACACCTAAAGCAACTAGAGAAGGAAGAAATGAAGAACCCCAGGGTTAGTAGAAGAAAAGAAATCTTAAAAATTAGGGCAGAAATAAATGCAAAAGAAACTAAAGAGACCATAGCAAAAATCAACAAAGCTAAAAGCTGGTTTTTTGAAAAAATAAACAAAATTGACAAACCATTAGCAAGACTCATTAAGAAACAAAGGGAGAAGAACCAAATTAACAAAATTAGAAATGAAAATGGAGAGATCACAACAGACAACACTGAAATACAAAGGATCATAAGAGACTACTACCAGCAGCTCTATAAAATGGACAACTTGGAAGAAATGGACAAGTTCTTAGAGAAGTAAACTTTCCAAAACTGAACCAGGAAGAAATAGAAGATCTTAACAAACCCATCACAAGCAAGGAAATCGAAACTGTAATCAGAAATCTTCCAGCAAACAAAAGCCCAGGACCAGATGGCTTCACAGCTGAATTCTACCAAAAATTTAGAGAAGAGCTAACACCTATCTTACTCAAACTCTTCCAGAAAATTGCAGAAGAAGGTAAACTTCCAAACTCATTCTATGAGGCCACCATCACCCTAATTCCAAAACCAGACAAAGATGCCACAAAAAAAGAGAACTACAGGCCAGTATCACTGATGAACATAGATGCAAAAATCCTTAACAAAATTCTAGCAAACAGAATCCAACAACATATTAAAAAAATCATACATCATGACCAAGTGGGCTTTATCCCAGGAATGCAAGGATTCTTTAATATCCACAAATCAATCAATGTGATACACCACATTAACAAATTGAAAGATAAAAACCATATGATTATCTCAATAGATGCAGAGAAAGCCTTTGACAAAATTCAACATCCATTTATGATTAAAACTCTCCAGAAAGCAGGAATAGAAGGAACATACCTCAACATAATAAAAGCTATATATGACAAACCCACAGCAAGCATCACCCTCAATGGTGAAAAATTGAAAGCATTTCCCCTGAAATCAGGAACAAGACAAGGGTGCCCACTCTCACCACTCCTATTCAACATAGTTTTGGAAGTGTTGGCCACAGCAGTCAGGGCAGAAAAAGAAGTAAAAGGAATCCAGATAGGAAAAGAAGAAGTGAAACTCTCTCTGTTTGCAGATGACATGATCCTCTACATAGAAAACCCTAAAGACTCTACCAGAAAATTACTAGAGCTAATCAACGAATACAGTAAAGTTGCAGGATATAAAATTAACACACAGAAATCTCTTGCATTCCTATACACTAACAATGAGAAAACAGAAAGAGAAATTAAGGAAACGATACCATTCACCATTGCAACAAAAAGAATAAAATACTTAGGAGTGTATCTACCTAAAGAAACAAAAGACCTATACATAGAAAACTATAAAACACTGATGAAAGAAATCAAACAGGACACAAAACAGATGGAGAAATATACCGTGTTCATGGATTGGAAGAATCAATATTGTCAAAATGGCTATACTACTCAAAGCAATCTATAGATTCAATGCAATCCCTATCAAACTACCAATGATATTTTTCACAGAACTAGAACAAATAATTTCACAATTTGTATGGAAATACAAAAAACCTCGAATAGCCAAAGTAACCTTGAGAAAGAAGAATGGAACTGGAGGAATCAACCTGCCTGACTTCAGACTATACTACAAAGCCACAGTCATCAAGACAGTATGGTACTGGCACAAAGACAGAAATATCGATCAATGGAACAGAATAGAAAGCCCAGAGATAAATCCACGAACCTACGGTCACCTTATCTTTGACAAAGGAGGCAAGGATATACAATGGAAAAAAGACAACCTCTTTAACAAGTGGTGCTGGGAAAACTGGTCAACCACCTGTAAAAGAATGAAACTAGAACACTTTCTAACACCATACACAAAAATAAACTCAAAATGGATTAAAGATCTAAATGTAAAACAAGAAACTATAAAACTCCTAGAGGAGAACATAGGCAAAACACTCTCCGACATAATCACAGCAGGATCCTCTATGACCCACATCCCAGAATTTTAGAAACAAAAGCAAAAATAAACAAATGGGACCTAATGAAACTTAAAAGCTTTTGCACAACAAAGGAAACTATAAGCAAGGTGAAAAGACAGCCCTCAGATTGGGAGAAAATAATAGCAAACAAAGCAACAGACAAAGGATTAATCTCAAAAATATACAAGCAACTCCTCCAGCTCAACTCCAGGAAAATAAACGACCCAATCAAAAAATGGGCCAAAGAACTAAACAGACATTTCTCCAAGGAAGACATACAGATGGCTAACAAACACATGAAAAGATGCTCAACATCACTCATTATCAGAGAAATGCAAATCAAAACCACAATGAGGTACCATTACACGCCAGTCAGGATGGCTGCTATCCAAAAGTCTACAAGCAATAAATGCTGGAGAGGGTGTGGAGAAAAGGGAACCCTCTTACAGTGTTGGTGGGAATGCAAATTAGTACAGCCGCTATGGAAAACAGTGTGGAGATTTCTTAAAAAGCTGGAAATAGAACTGCCATATGACCCAGCAATCCCACTTCTGGGCATACACACCGAGGAAACCAGATCTGAAAGAGACATGTGCACCCCAATGTTCATCACAGCACTGTTTATAATAGCCAGGACATGGAAGCAACCTAGATGCCCATCAGCAGATGAATGGATGAGGAAGCTGTGGTACATATACACCATGGAATATTACTCAGCCATTAAAAAGAATTCATTTGAATCAGTTCTAATGAGATGGATGAAACTGGAGCCCATTATACAGAGCGAAGTAAGCCAGAAAGATAAAGACCATTACAGTATACTAACACATATATATATGGAATTTAGAATGATGGTAATGATAACCCTATATGCAAAACAGAAAAAGAGACTCAGATGTATAGAACAGACTTGTGTCCATGGCTAATTCATTTCAATGTATGACAAAAACCACTGCAATGATGTAAAGTAATTTGCCTCCAACTAATAAAAATAAATGGAAAAAAAAAAAGAACAGACTTATGGACTCTGTGGGAGAAGGCGAGGGTGGGATGTTTCAAGAGAACAGCATGGAAACATGTATATTATCTAGGGTGAAACAGATCACCAGTCCAGGTTGGATGCATGAGACAAGTGCTCGGGCCTGGTGCACTGGGAAGACCCAGAGGGATCGGGTGGAGAGGGAGGTGGGAGGGGGGACCGGGATGGGGAATACATGTAAATCCATGGCTAATTCATTTCACTGTATGACAAAAACCACTGTAATGTTATAAAGTAATTAGCCTCCAACTAATAAAAAAAAATGGAAAAAAAAAAAAAGCCAAGTCACAAAATGAGCAAAAACATAACTTTGCTATTTTGACTACTTAAAAATTAAAAGCTTCTGCTCATCAAAAGACATCAAAAAAGGGAGGGAAAGGGGACAAAAGACAAGTCAGAAAAAGGGGAAAGATATTTGCAACAAACAAAATGGACAAAATATTAGATATAAAGAAGCCTACAAATTAAAAAGATAAAAGCAAACCAACAACCCCCCCCAAAAAAAAATAATGAGTAGAAGACCTGAACAGGTATGTCATAAAAAAGGCACAATGTATGTGGTCCATAAACACGGAAGTGGGCTCAACTTCATTTGTAATCTGAAAGCCACAAATTGAAACCACAAGGAGATGCCATTTACATCCTTCAGATGGGCAAAGACTTCTAAATCAAACGGGACTACTGTTGCTGAGGTGAGGAGTGGCAAAGATGCTCATCCATTCCCATGTGGACAGTCTGACACACTAGGAAGGCTGAAGATACGGATATCCCATGCCTGGAAATCCTAGAGGAACTTTTGTAAATGTGTACAATGGCATAGCTTCTGAATCGTAAAAAATGCGATATAACTCAAATATAGAATGGATAATGTATTTTAGGGCTTCTCAGATGGTGCTAGTGGTAAAGAACCTGCCTACCAATGCAGGAGACATAAGAGACATGGGTTCGATCCCTGGGTTGGGACAACCCCCTGGAGGAAGGCATGGCAACCCACTCCAGTATTCTTGCCCCATGGACAGAGGAGTCTGGTAGGCTATAGTCCATAGGGTCACAATGAGTCAGACACGACTGAAGCGACTTAGCAAACAAGCACAATATATTTTAATGGAGCATTACATAGCATGATTTCCCAGATGGCTCAGATGGTAAAGAATCTGCCTGCAATCTGGGAGACCTGGGTTCGATCCCTGTGTCAGAAAGATCCCCTGGAGAAGGGAATGGCAACACACTCCAGGATTCTTGCCTGGAGAATCCCATGAACAGAGGAGGCTGGCAGGCTATAGTCTATGGGGTCACAAAGAGTCAGACACGACTTAGCAATTTAACTACCATCACCACTACACAACACAGTAAACAACAATCAAAACTAAACATACATTATTTACTGACATCTATATATGATGCATAGACATTTAAAACAATCAAGGGAACATTAACATACAATGTAAGATACATAACCTGGAGACAGGACATATGAAAAAGGCAGGCAGATGAGACTGGGCAATACTCAGGACATACAGGTAATCATCTTTGGCCATGGGATGGGTAATAGATATTGCTTTATGATTACATAACTATACAAATGTATTTCATATATTCTTCTGTATACACATACACTTTACAATTTTTAAAAGTTCAATAAAGGAAAAGAAATAATTATTAGGAACACAAAATCATAATCTTACCAGGATAAGAATGATTCTGTTTATTTGAAGAAATTTCTGAAAGAGTATCCAGGGAATCTGTTACTCTGTGAATAAAAGAAGGAATGCAAACCTAATTAGAAGCAGCTGGTCTTCATATTTAAGACTGGCGCTTAACTGAGGGTTTCACAACAATGGCTTTATCTTTTTTTTTTAACTTTTTGATTTGTATTGGGGTATAGTAAACTGACAATGCTGTGATAGCCTCAGGTGAACGGCGAAGGGACTCAGTCATACATATACATGTATTCAATGGTCATTTCTTATTTTACTCACTGGACAAGCATTTACTGAGTATTTATTAATAAGCCAGAAATGAATTTCAATTTAGCACCAGAGACAGGCACTAATCAAACAGAAGAAGTCCTTGTTATATAAGGATAGCAAGTTATATAAGGATAGCAAGTACAGAGAAAGTCAACTTCAAGTGAATTCATTTCAAATAGGGGCCCAACTTTGTTTTCTTGGAGCTTCATTTTCAAAGATGGAACTAAAAAAGGTGAAAATTTATTTTACGTTAAATATGACAAATGTTAGGTTGTAATTATAAATACATTACATTTTTATATTGAAAAAAGACATCAGCTGAGTCTGTGTATATATGTGATTTTTCTTATAAAACCAACATCTTTTATGTTATATTTGACTCTAAGCACAATCATAAAGGACACATTCTTTATAGGTCTATTTTTTTGATATTCAAATAATTCGTTACTTTTAAAAAGCCAATCCCATAACAGTCTCATTTTCTTTCAACTGTTTACTGACCTAAACCAGAAAAGTCTTCATTCTATCCATCACTTGTTCCAGCACACTTTGTTACCATAAAGGAATCCTGCAACTCTTGCATTAATTGTAACTTCATCTTGCAATCCACGTGCATCATCTTTACATGATACATAACATAGAGCAATCAATGAAAGACTAATGAATGCAAAGAATATGACCTGATGAAGCAGAGAGATACTTGAATTTAGTTGTGATGGAGAGTTGAGAACTTAATTCTAAAAGTGATCAGTTCATTAGTAAGAAGTACCTAATGGTATGAACTAAGAATAAGAAAATTAATACTATGCTGAGCAAAAACCACTTGAGCAGAAAAAGAGAGAGAGAGAGAGATTAGATCTAGTCACTGAGTCTCAGAATTTCTCTAAAGAAATACTGGCTTTTATATATGTTGATAGAAGAAAAGGAATTAGCTAGACAATAGTTGAGTGATTACAGAAAGCCATCCAAGCAAAGGAAGTAATATGTGCAAAGATTCTGGGACAGGGGCACATTTTTTTTAATAGAAATGTTTTTTTTTTTTTTTTAAGAGGAAAAAAATAAAGGCAAACAACAGTCTGGGGAGGAGAGTGATGCAAGGTGAGGTTGTGATTGGTCACTATGTGATTAACAGCTGTTCTCAGGAGTCCCTTCATGAAGATCAGTGTGATTGTTAAAGAGCTCCCAAGCTGGTTTAAATTAGAAACTCCTCAAAATCAGGCATCATGTCTGTTTTATTTGCTTATAGAATGCCGAGCACAGCACAAAGTGCTAAAAGACACTTAATAGTATTTGATGATGATGAATGAGACAATCAGAAGATGACAGGAAGACAGCTGGTTGGAGACAGCAGTTCATTTAGAGAGAGCCGTGCTTCGTCTAAAGATGAGGGGACTGCTTTTAAATGAATCACCTTAAAGAAGACCAAATAGATGCCCCCCAAAAAGAAAGCAAAAAATGTGTGTTCCATAAACAAAGCAATAAAAAGAAGATAAAACTTGGAGAGAGAAAGTGGCTTTGCAATGTAACAGAGAAGAAAGCTGTTACAGCATAAAAGACACTGAAGGAAAGTTCATCAATATTTACTGTGTGCACAATATGCCAAACTATATTCCTTGGGTAGACAAATATGGAACAGAGAAGCCCAGTCCTCATGACTAGGAGACAAATCAAACTTCTAAGAGACTGTAGCAATGTGCTAATGAAGATTTGTTCAAAGTAATATGAGAATCCAGAAGACTAACTGGTGACTCAGTATGGATTTTATTCCCAAATCAATCACTTATAAGTTACAGGTCCTGAAGAGAGTCACGGAGCCTCTTTTAACTATAATAGGATAATGGTTAAAAGCACACACTCTTATACTAGACTCTCTGGGCTCAGATCTTCACTTGGGCCCTGGGCACAGTTCTACACCTCACTAAGCTCTCTGTGCCTTACTTTCCCACGTGTGAAATAGGGATAATTATGGTACCCGACACACAGGGTCACTGTATGTAAACAATACATAGAAAGCACTTAAAATAGTGCAGCACATCTAAGTGCCACCAGTTACCGTCTCTTTTTCTTTATTTATAAAATAACTACCAAAAGGCCCCCTGCAAACTATCTAAAAGCAAGGGCTTAGGAAAGAGCAAAGTAACAGACCTGGGCTGAATCCAGCTCCACCATTAACTAGTATGGGAGATCAAAATACCTTACCCCAAACAGGCTGCTCTAGCACAAGGGATTATTTTGAGCTAAAGACATTCAAGAATAAACAAATGCAAAAAGAGGCTTTCTCTGAACTCCCCTTATCTGCCTAAAACAGATCTCCCCAAAGAAGAACTCAATTGTCATAAATCCCCTCCCCAGAATTTCATTAAGCATGGAAGACTGACTTGCATCACAGGAGAGGAGATGGGGAGTTAACACCACACCCAGACAGACACTGTCACAGACTATCACATCCCCATCCACTTTCCTAAAGGCCCATTGATCTTCCCTAACATCATCGGCTCTCCCACAAGCGGCCTTTCTCCCCCGTCCCTTCCCCCATTAAGATGGTCTATAAATTCTCCAATGTCACCATCCTTTTGGGCATTCACCACTTTCTGTGATGCCCCCATGCATTAACATTTAATAAATGCTACGCCTTTTCTTCTGTTTATCTGTTGTCAGTTTAATTCACAGGCTCCGTCCCCTCCAGTTAGTGAACATAAGATGGTGAGGGACAAGTTTTTCATCCCCTACACCAGCTACATGACTTTAGCAGTTACTGTATCTCATGAAACTTTTTTTTGCCTGCAAAATAGGAATAATCATACCTTATATCTCATACCTTATATCTCATGGGTCTGGGGGAAATTGATGAAGTACACGGTACAGAGCCCACCACTCATTAAATGATCAGTAAATGTTTGTAGAGATCCTCTTCAACTTACAATGGAGTTATGTCCCAACAAACCCATCTTGAGTTGAAAATGCATTTGATACACCTAACCTGCTGGACATCATCACCTAGCCTTGTCAACCTTAAACGTGCTCAGAACACTGTCATGAGTCTACAGTTTGGCAAAACCATCTAACACCAAGCCTACTTTACAATCAAGTGTTGAATGTCTCATTTAAGTTATTGAATACTGTACTTAAAGTGAGAAACAGAATGGTTGTGTGGGTACAGAAGGATCGTAGGTGCCTGGGCTGTTCACCTTCATGATCACGGGGCTGATTGGGAGCTGCAGCTGCTGCCCTGCCCAGCCTCATGACACTGTATCATACTGTGCATGGCTAGCCCGGGGAAAGATCAAAACTCAAAATCTGAAGTACAATTTCTACTGAATTCCTACCACTTTTGCACCATCATTAAGTCTAAAAATTGTAAGCTGAACCACTGTAAGTCAGGGACCATCGGCAGTTATTCTTTTCTAGTTTACCTGGCTAAATACTTATTAAAATCAAACAAAACATTTAATTGAAGGTACTTTGTCAAGTACTTTGCAGTTAACTTATAACTGCAAAGCATTACAAGTTAAATGTTATAAAATCATAAATAACAAGAAAAGGATTATATCAAGTACATCATAGAAGAAGGAAAAGAATACAAAAATTATATGTAACTATTCATTAAAAAAAATGAGAAAGAAAATGGATATGAAAACTATTAAACTTGCCAGGAGGCAGTCACACAGTCCAGTTGGAAGGGGATGAGATGGGACCCCCAGGTTGAGATGGCAGGTCTATTCTCATGTGATTGTACCATACGTGTTACTGCCTATTTAAAGATATCAGGCCAACTTCTTTCAGCATATTAAGTCATTTCACACAGTTTACCTAGAATTTCATAAGGACTTGTTTCTGCTCAACTTAAAACCCAGAGTGAGCTGGAGCAAAAGTGTGCTATCTTCGGAAGAAACACCGAGGAGGTATATTATATATAAATACTTGAAGCTTCACTTCCCCCCAAAAGATGTACTGCCTATCTATTTTTGAAAACTAAAGAAATCAGAGGAAAAAGCCATTTTGCTTCCATTAGGTTTGTAGGAGAATGAATGGGGTGCCTGCTGGCAGGAAATTTAATGTAGTTAGGATGTGACTGAAGCAATCAGAGAGCATTTTCACTTTTGTTTGCATGACAGATTAAGCTTGCTGCTCTCACTGTTCCGAGCAGCAAACACCACTCCTAATAGCCTACACATACTCATAGGGTTTGCAAATGAGGAATAAAGGAGGTTTTTAAAATTGCAAATCCTCAGCAAAGCAAATTTAGCTTTCCATGAGCCTACCCTCTGAAGCAGGCGGTGGTGAACCCCTGAAAGAAGACATGGTCTGTAGTGCGTGCACACCTTTCATACAGAGTTAGTGACTCTAACTCGCTGCGCATTACAAAAAGCTCTTGTTAATAATGTAAATTTCATTTTTTTCTCACCTTTGAACCCTGGATGGGGGAGCAAATATTCCATATCTTGGGGAACAACTAAAATACTGCACACCTCCAACTGAACCATCATTCTTGCCATGGGGTTTCTCAAGCTCTATCCCGTACCAATATCCTAGAACAAGAATACTGGATTTTAAAAGCATCTGTACTTTATCCAAAACTGTTATGTTATTACACAAACCCACAGTCTAGATGGTTTAACATTCTCACACATGACCAAAGTGATGGAATATCATTGTTATCATTAAGCCTTCAAACAATAAAATTATTAAACAAAATTTGAAAGTTTCAAAAATGAACCAGAAAAACATTTCACAAGTATAATTGCAGAGCTGTACATTAAGGGAGAAAGACAAAATGCACAAATACAAATTTGGCAAGGATTAGCTATTAGGAAAGTAGTGTTTGACCAAAATATATCTAAAAGCTATAATAAGAAATTGTCCTTAACTTGGTAATATAGTCTGTTTGAGATGGGAGCAATGTAGCATAGTATTGAGATGCATGAGACATAAAATGAACATGCAATCTTTTCATTTTACTCTCCCAACAAGAGAATACCACAAACAGTTCTTAAATAATTAAAGAGGGACAAAAATAATATGGAAAATTACTAGACTTCATGGTGATTCTTCTTTTTCTTTCATTTTTTCCCCACCCAAGATGGGGAAAAAAATCATTTTTAACCTAAAAGATTTAGGTTAGCTAATAGGAAGAATTTTCTAAAAGGCTTTCAAGTATTTAAAAGGGCATTCTGAGGAGAGTAATGGGATTTCCTTTTCCAGAGAGCATAAAATTAAAACAGTGAGGTTGCTTTTAGTGTGGCAAATATTAAATAAAAGGACATAGACTCCTAGAGTAATGGCTCTGGATGAAGGTAACTCCAAATTAGTTAAATGTACCTGACAGTCCACTCATTTCTTATTTAAAAGGGGAACACAATAGTGATTGTATTTGGTCTCTCAGAATCAGTATCAAATAAAGATATGGATATTGAGAAATTTACTACAAATGACAAAATGTGGAATATTGTTTCCTTCAGATTAATAATGTAGAGAGTCAATTATATAACCTCTAAAATGACAACCCAGAGTTCTTAACTTTTTTTTCCTCTTATATTCAAAATGATGACACTTGAGTCGATTCCCGATATCGGAGTTTGAATTGGAAAGACTAGTATAAGGCATGTGGTAGTCTTTTATACTGAAACAACCTACTCTGCACAGGTACAAAGAGATGTATACAGACCTACTGCTTGGCCATATTAATGCTGGGCACTGCATTTCTGAATGTCATTAAACCAGGTTATTCTGGCTGCCACTGTTATTTCTGAGTGCCACAGTTACAATTTTCCAAGTTTTATGTCCTCCTGCCTTTGATGCTTTCCTATATAATTTGTACATTTTCCCATTTTAATACATCGTATCACTGCTACATGTTTGCCATATACCTCTTGAAAGTATATAGCACACAGCAGGAAGGCATTACAGCAAGTGTTAACAAGAGTGACTACACAGTGTCTGGCAGTGGTGAGGGAAGGACATCACCCCACGTAACCAGCACCTTTCTTTCAGAGGTAGCACTGATGGCTAACCATGCCCTCTGTCAGGTCTAAGTCTCATAATCTATAGAAAGGCTAGATATTACCACTGTTCTATAGAACTGACTGATCTACATTTTGACGCCATAAGAAATATATCCTACTACTTTCTGAAAGGGCAGAAGGACTTTAACAAAAAATCTCCAGTTTTTATACTGTTGGTTTGTTGTTCAGTCACTAAGTCATGTCCAATTCTTTGCCACCTCATAGACTGCAGCACACCAGGCTTCTCTGTCCTTCAGTATCTCCTGGAGTTTGCTCAAACTCATGTCCAATATCTGATTATTACTTTTCAGATTTCTAAGCGTTCTATGTGTTCGCAGTCACTCAGTCATGTCCAACTTTTTGCAACCCCATGGAAAACTGTAGCCCGCCAGGCTCTTCCACCCATGAAATTTTCCAGGCCAGAATAATGGAGTGGGTTACCATTTCCTACTCCAGGGAATCTTCCTGACCCAGGGATCTAACCCCTGTCTTTTGCATCTCCTGCACTGGCAGATGGATTATTTACCATTGCACCACCTGGGAAGCCCTAAATGCTCTTTACTAGGAGTTCAAAACTTAAAAGTCAACCTAAAAACAACTGTATCCAAATGAATCAAACCATTCAAGCCTTGTTTAGTAAAACCAGAGAAAGGAAACTGAGAAGACATGAGGGTGGAAAAATAAACTACCTTTGGCATTTCTAAGTTTTTATTTGAGAACCATATTAAGAACATTCTAACTAATCTCGGTTACTACCTCAGTTGCTACTACTATTTCGAGAAACATGAATTATAAAACATGCAGCCCATCCCCAATCAGTTAGTAACTGGACCGCAATTATAAATTGTACTAATGAAATGAGAATGTGCTAGGAGACCATTCTCTGTCCATGTCTTATGGAGAGAGGTGCTGACCATGTTTTCCCAGACGTTTGTAGAGAAGACAGCCTTGGGAGATAGAGACAGTCTCCTGGCAAGAGGACAGGTATACTTACTGTCTCTATAAAGGTTTAGGTTCCTTAAGCGTGGGGCTCCTCTCCTGTACTACTGGGTTACAGGGGTCCCCCGGCCCTCCTCCCTATCTTATTCTCTGGGAACTGGGGCCCAGGAAGCCAACAGAAGAAAATGTTGCCACTCTAGCTACCACTATTGATGAGAGCACTGAGGTTCTCTGCCTCTGACCCAGGAGTCTACCATCTTCTGCCAGCATCGATGGAACTGTGGTCATCCATCTTGCAAATAAGGTAAAATCTCAGATCTTTCAGAGTTCCTGACAGAAGACTACAAACTTTTTTTTAAAAAATCAGTGTTCTCAGTAACCTTTTCCTAAAAAATCCTGCAATGCCACCATGTGTCAACATAGCATATTGCTATTTAAAAATACAAATGTTTTATTCAACTGGCTTCTATTTGAAATTACAATCACCAAAAATACAAAAGAAAGATTATCTTCACATTTGCAAATGCAGTATTAAGTTTAGATTGGAATGAATATATAAATACACAAACATGCATCTTTAAGGTCCCAGGGTGCACAAAACCTTTTTCATCTCCCTTTGAACCTCTTTGTTTGCTTTTCTCTCTAAGCCATTCTGTTAAAAGCTATATGCAATGAACTCATTATCCACTCATTTTAAAGAATGTGCTTAGCACAAATCTAATCCTAAAATGTTTTCTCTGTTATTTAGCACACTTGGCAATCAGTGAGAGTGAAACTGGAGAATAACAACTGATTTTAACTTTAGACAATGTAAAACACAATTGGCAGGAAAAATTCATAAGAAATAATCAACCTGCGTGAAAACAGTCTGCATCTGAATCAACATTTTGCATTTTCTGTGCCAGAACAACCATCCATAAGAACTATTAATCAAGAATTCTACATTTTATTTACATGTAAATTCTAAAACCTTTTGTATTCTAAAGAATTCAAGTTGAGCAAAGACTATACAGGTGAGTTACCTGGAGCAAAGTTTGTTGTCCCAAAGAACTTAATGGTACCAATTCTCTGGCCTGCCACCAACACCCTGTCTCCAATTCGGAGGTCTCCTTCACAGCGCCCGCTATTTGCTACAGATGCTGCTGAGGAATTCAAACCTGTGTGGGGATTGGTTGGGGAAGGGGGTGGGACAGGAGGAGAGAGAAAAAACAAAGGGACACTCAAAAACCACATGAGCGAAAAAATTACTATGTATCCTAACCAGTCTCCTTAGTTGGAGGTTTCAATATATGCTGTTTTCTTCCTTATACACATCTATAGTTGTGTTTCTCACATGTGAAGGAAAGCTACTCAAATGAAATTTGAAGGGTTTCCTGAGAGGACCATTGCTCTGGGAACTTACACAGGACACCGAGTGAAGCATCAACTTTATTCTGACTTCCTGGGGGCACTCTCTACAAGAACAGAGGTCAGCACACCCTTTGTGTAAAGGGCTATATAGTAAACACTTCAGGCTTTGCAAGCCACGCTACCCTGTCACAACTGTTCAACTTCGCTGTTGTAGCTCAAAAGCAGAGACAAAATGAGCACAATGTGTTCCAGCAAAACTTTATTTACAAAAGCAGGTGGTAGGTTGGATTTGGCCCATGGGCTGCAGTCCACCAATCTCTATTCTAGTAAAATGGTAGAATCATAATAGTTCAGTGGGACTTGGTGTAAATGATACATACACAAATGTAATTTAAAAGTGGAACTGCTATAAGGTTCCAATGACCCCCAAACTGATTTCCTTATTAGAAACAAAAGCACACACCACCTTGCCTCGGACCTTGATTCAAACCTAAACCCTGAAGTGCCCACTCCTGAACATCAGACGTTCTAGAGCAGCACCGTCTAGAAAGCTGCTCAATTATAACAGAGGACAGGTGGACCTCTGAGGCTTCTCCCAGCAGTTCAAAAGACAGATTGGAATGGCTGTCATCTGAGAAGGGCTGGGGAACCCTCTGTGAGGGTACTGGATACAGGGAAAGTCAGTCTGTGAACAGGGAGAAACTAAAAACATGGCAACAACTGAAGAACACAAACCCAGGAAGAAGGAAGGTCTAGGTCAACTGTATACTAAAAAGTCCTAGGCCCTCAAAATAACTAACATTTCCCAAGCACTTCACAGTTTATAAAGTGCTTATCATGAGAATTATAATCATAGACAAGATACAAACTCGGGAATTAATGAAGACACGGTGTTCACAGTGAGTAGATAGCACACCTGACTTAAAACCCAGACCCTGTGACCAGAAACCCTCAGGTTTCGGTCTGCAGACAGTGGATCGAGACAATGAGTTCAACATGGGACACAGTGGGGCTGAGTTCACAGACTTCCTCCCCAATCTCCCCATCCCCCAACCCCTTCTTTCTGCTCCTCTTTCTCTTTAATATTTTGTCCTTAACTTCCAGTAATGTCCACTCTCTGCAGTCCACACCTCCCCAAATGCAAATCACTCAATCTAGAGAAAAATTTAAGGAAATATTTCTGGGTTTGGAATATGGACTTTCTCTCACATGTGACCCATTCTCTCTCCCTCACTTTTTATTTTTTTTTCATTTATTTATATTAGTTGGAGGCTAATCACTTTACAATATTGTAGTGGTTTTTGCCATACATTGATATGAATCAGCCATGGATTTACATGTGTTCCCCATCCTGAACCCCACTCCCACCTCTCTCCCCATCCCATCCCTCTGGGTCATCCTAGTGCACCAGCCCTGAGCACTTGTCTCATGTATCAAACCTGGACTGGTGATCTGTTTCACAAATGATAATATACATGTTTCAATTCCCTCCCTTTTTAAAAGGACCTCTTTATTACTCTGATAATTCTCTTCATCTCTATTACTTAAACTTATAAACCCCTCAAATTTATAAAAAGAAGAAAATGTTAAATAAGAAGGCATACTAGAACTACTTTATATAAAGGGTAAAAAAGACAATTCCATACCCATACATAAATTTTAAAATCAAGTCACTGTCAAAGGCCTAAATTCCAAATGAAGAAGGCCTTAAAATGCAATTAAAATGAGGACAAACAGGATTGCTACATCACTGCATTGTCTCACCTCTGTTCCTCTCAGCATTAACAAGAAACTGGTTTCAGGGGAAGGGGAATCTATTCAGAAAATAGATATTCAAGCAAAATTTCCAGGTTTTCCACTTTTGGAGAACTTTTACATTTATTACATCAGTGTTACTATCAAGGATTTTTTTTGTTTTTTTTCCCCATACAATAAAGTATCTTTAAAAAAAATCCTGTCCTGAACATTTTTCACGATAAAATACTGATTCAGCACAAGTATTAAAAGTATTAGAAAAAGGATCCAGTAATTACTATGAGACTTATTGAAAACAAATTATGCTAAAATGACCTGATTTCCTTTCTATGTAGGCAAATAAAGTAAAAGAAAGTGAAAGTCACTCAGTTGTGTCCGATTCTTTGCAACCCCAATTCCATACAGTACATGGAATTATCCTCGCCAGAATACTGGAGTGGATAGCCTTTCCCTTCTCCAGGGGATCTTCCCAACCCAGGGATTGAACCAGGTCTCCCGCATAGCAGGCAGATTCTTTACCAGTTGAGCTACCAGGGAAGCCCATAGGCAAATAAGTGAACTGCAATCAGTATTCATGTGTTGATTCCAACAAGAAAAAGTGTTTTCTATATCCCTACACATAACTGAAGAAATGTGAATTGAATGGGATCATGCAGGCTTCATAGCGAGCTAAACAGGTTATCATTGTCAACCTCTCCTACACAGTTTTAAATGATGACTTTAAAAATAGAGAAAGCATGCTTTTTTAAATAAGAAGATAACTCTGAAGTGTGTGAAAAGCTACAAGCAAGATGTAAAAAACAAAACTCAGAGGGATAAAAATTCTACCATTAAATTAAATGAAAATAAATGTAAAGTCCTACGTCAAGCCATAAAATGAAAAAACTTAGCTTTCGGCTCTATTTGAGCCAATGATACAGTGTGGTCACCAAAATTGCATGAGCAGCCTCAGGCTGGACTTGTACTAAGAGGCAGAGCTTCAGCTCTCTACCAGCTAGCCAGGAGGGTCCTAAGGACCCTACAGCACAAGGAAGAGCTGAAGGCACTTGAGACAGAGGCAGAGTTTAACAATAGCAGAGAAGCATCAGACAGACCTGTGGGTGCAGCCCAGGTGTGCACTTAGAAACTGCCATCATGCACCAATACCTGACCTCCCTAAGCCTCAGTTTCCCCATTCATAAAGTGAAGGTGGTCATGATATTTGATTCATTTTGAGAATTAAGTGAAATAAGATATGCAAAATGCCTTTAATAGATATGAAATAATAAACAATGCATACTGACATGTTAATTATTAATATTAGATTTAGATTAGAAAAGAGATAAGTAAAGAAATAGAAGAGATCATACAGTTTCCAAGTATCTGAGGATCTGTCATAAAGTTCTAATAGGAACCTTACAGAGGCTGGAGTCCTTAGACAACAAAGAGAAGAAGTAAATCCAGACAAGGGAAAATGGCAGGAGCATGAGGAGAAAGGCAGAGAGATCCAGAGTGTGCTGAGAGAGGAGAGGGGTGAGGGCTGGGAGACAGACAGGAAAGGGGCAAGTAGTTCAATCTGACTGAAGTAAAGGGTTCCTTCTACCCATTTAAAAAGAGCAAATCTACTTACAAACAAACCAAGATAAAAAACACCAAGAAAGCCTGGTTGAAAAAGCCATAGATACCAGCACTGGCTCTAGATGAGAGAGAAGGGCTTTTGCTCACTGTCTTCTTGTTATTGCCACGTGCATTCAGGTGCTTGGAGAGGCCCTGTTTGTGCTCCAGAGAAGATATAGAGGAGGAGCTGCTGATGGATCCAATCAGGGGAACTGAAACAACGGTAAAGGAAAGGAATACGTCAATGGGTGGGAAACAAGCAGTGAACCGATTAGATGCTTTTCCAGGTAAATCCTCTGAAACTCTCCATTCAGCTTCTTCCATTGTAGATTATCTTAGTGTTGAATTAAATGCCTGATTTCATCAAAACACATTGTAGTTAATACACACAAGGTTTTAGGGCCCAAGCAATTTTAAGGATCCAAAGGATCCACACCATATGATGACAATCTTATATAGAAAAGTGTTGTTGTGTAATCAATTTAGACCAATTTCCTATTCTAACCACCACTGTCTCTCACCTCTTACTTTAGATGAATTAGTAGAATCACAACTTATTTATATAAAAAACACAACTAATGTATTTTTAAGGGAACAAAAGTTTAATATTAAAATGTTCTGAGTTAACCTGAAGGCAAGCAGGAATACTTTTGAATTTTCTATTCATGCTCTATTCACCCAGTGATTTGACAGCTAAAGACAACTTAATTTTTTATCTATTTCAAGTTTATTGAGTAATAATTGACAAATATAATTGTATATAAAGTGTGCAATACTATGATTAAAAGACATACTGGAATGATTAACAAGATCAAGATAACATTCACATCCGTCACCTCACATAGTTCATTTTGCGTGTGTGTGAGTGGTGACAACGCTTAACATCTACTCTCAGCATCTTTCAAGTATAAATTGTAAAGGTAACTTTAAATAATTCTATCAAGCCATCTACACTATGTAATTTCACTTTATTCTCTGCATCTAGTCCTGTAATTCACTATATGTATGGAAGAATCACAACATAGGAATTTATACAAAAAATACAAATGTGTGTGTGTGCACTTTATTATGAGCTGTTTAGGGAATTTTCAAGTATAAATTTTTACTGTACCGAGTCTTCCCTTACAAACTTTAAAATTTAGCCTCATATAAGCTATATCACTATATTGTTTTAAAGTTCCATCAGTACATTAAACTTTAAGAAGTTATAAATTATATTACCATCTTTCTCTGCTCCAGTTTTCAACTCTTCACCAGGAGGCAATGAGAGTGTTGATTCTGAAGCACTATCTTTTTTTGATGTCATTAATCCTAGAACACAGAAACAAAACACATTCAGCAAGAAAGAATTTTAATGTTAAACATAAACATGGATTCGCTTTTGAAAGTACAGACAATCCTCACTGAAATCTTCTCTACTTCTGAGAATACACTGGATAATAAATTCACAGACATCAGGGGCCAGTATTTTATTAAGGGGAAAGAAAAGAATGTATTCCTAGCCCATCTGAAAACCCCAATCAATTTCCCCAAATATCACTAAGCTTTCTTTTAAACTTACTTTAAAATCCACTTAGGAATTCTATATAATATAAAGCATTTAAAACACAGCTATCTAACCATCTGATACTTAGTATACTCCTTAGTGCTTGCACAATGCTAGCAGGTAAAAAAAACTTAACATGCCTACGACAGTTGCACACTTATTAAGATCTGCACACAACTCATGATTTCATTGGTGTGTGCAGGCAAATTCATTGGGGCAGACTGCCTTTTCAGATAGTGGATTTGTGGTAAAAAAATTTTTTTGCAAACCATTATAGAAGCTTTTCATTTAAGTGAAAGTCAGATATTAAAAATCCCTGTACTCTCTGTCACTGGTATTCTGAAAATGACTACTTGACTCTCATTACACTCAACTCCCACCAAAAAAAAAAAAAAAGCAGTTTAAAAAAGAACAAGGTCATGAATAATAATCTACTTTATTAACACTTCTGTTTTAATTCTACAGAACCAAACCATTTAAATAAGAAACCTAATGAATGACATCCAGTTTTGAATGCCATCTAGAACTCATTTCAATTCTACTTGCTCACAAAGAATTTTGGGTGGAGAACTGAGCTTGGCACCCTGAGCATCACAAACAGAGCAAGCCATAGTCTCAGTCCTAAAGAAAGACCTTTTCAATTTGGCATGGCAGAAAGACATGAATAATCAAAATACAAGGACATGTTTGATACAAGCCCTAGCATTGACGGAGGAGAAAATAATCATTGCTGTAAAGATGAGTTAACACCTCATCAAGAACATCACATTCCAATATGCGTCTTGAGAGATAGGTCGGATTTCTTGTAGAGAATACAGGAGGTATGGTCAGAAAGAATTAGGGTAGGCATAATGGATATACAAAGAGAAAATAAACTTAAAGAAAGACAGGGTCAGAGAAGATTGAGTGGATTGGTTGGAATGAAGTGGACTTTGGGGGGACACAGGAGAAGTAAACCTGATGGATGGGTCACATTACAATCTTAGAGGGTGACAGGGTTGGCGCTCTTCAGTAAGGAACAAGCTTCAGTAAGGAACAAGCCCTCTGATGGGCTGTGGAAAGGAGGGCTGGAGTGACCACTCACAGGTGGATAACATCAACCAGACAGCAAAGTCTAAGAGGAACCAAAAGGAGGAGAGACAGGAAGCAGAGGCCGGGAATGAGGGCCAGAACTACAACTGCAGACCCTGGATGGACGGGTTGGGAAGACAGACTTTGTGAAGGCAACCCACAGAGTAAATTTCTTATTTTCAGTTGTATTTGTCAGTCCTAAAAGAGCCATTTGAGTCTTTCCTTTTATTTGAATTGTTAAGAGATAACTGGAGATTCACATGCAGTTGTAAAAAAACAATATTGGACGATGTCTCACACACTCTGCCCAGTTTCCCCCAAAGGTGACATTTTACAAAACTATAGCATAAAATCACAACCAGGATACTGACATTGCTACAATCCACCAAGCTCAGTGCTACTTGTGTTCCTGTGTGTGCTCATGTGTGTCTGTGCACGTGCATTATTTGGTTCTTCCTTATATCTTCATGTCTCTGCTGAAATCTTCTATTTGTCTCAAGAGGGTTCACCCTTAATTCTTAGAGGCTTATAATATGTTCTTTGAAATATTTACCTGATAATTGTACCATCTCAGGGTTGGCATCTTTGATTGCCTTTTCCCTTCAGAGCTGTTGAGATTGTCCCGGTTTTTCATATTTAGAACAACTTTTCATTGTATCCTGTACACTATAAACATTATTCTAAAGGACTCTGGGTCTTGTTTAAAATTCAGTGGAGAATGTGGATTGTTTTGTTCTGCTGTTTTCGCAGGCACTGGACAGTCAGCAGGCAGTTAGGTTCAGGCTGGAAATTCCTATCCACCTTCTGTGACTGTGGTTCCAATGTCAGTTTGGTTCCCAAAGCCTCTTTGAGATCTGGCTTGTGTGTTGTGCCACCCAGTAGTCAGCCTGAGATCTGGGTGGAGGTCTGTGCATACCGAAGCCTGTGGTCAGAATCATGTACACACAGCTTAGCAGTAAGTGCCCCCATTCTGAGAGCACTTTCTTGAGCTCCCTCCTCACATGGTCTCCAGAAGCACCCTCCTCCTGATATTCTGGATAGAATGCCAAGGTTTTCATTGCTCTGCTCTGTCATACAATCTCTTGAAAGCCAAGCAGTGAGAAAAAAGAAGAAAAACTAATGGGGACTCCATCCATGTCCGCAGGACCACAGTTTCTCTGGCTGAAAACAAGGGTTCCCTCCCTTGGGGGTTTTAGGTGCCTGGCCATCCCCTGCTGCTACTACAACATACAGGACTTCTTAGGGACAAGGGTGTGAAAGAACCAAAGAGATTTTTTAAAAAGCAATTGAAAAGGAAAACAGGGATTTCCTCCACTTTGTCTAGTCGGAGATTCCTTTTCCTGCTCCTCAGACCAGAAATAGAGGGCTCCCCTTCAAGATTTCCCTCCATACCTGCTGTGTACTTCTGCACTTCACGTTAAAAGGATACCATTTACAGAGCATCAAAAAGTACAGAGTACCTAAGAGTAGACCTAACAAAACAAGTGCAAAATATACAGAAAATCATAAAATTTTACTGAGATATTTTTTAAGGATCCAATTAAATAAAGTGATATCCCAAGCTTATAATTAAAAGACTAAATACCATAAATGTCATTTCTCAAGTTGATTTTAGGCTTAAATGCAATACCAATTAAAATTTCAACAGATAATTTTTTATTTTTTGACACTAAAAATAGCATTAACATAAGTTGTTAATTCATTTGTCTAGAAGGTAATTTTCTGTTGAGCAAAATAACTCTTGATTTTTGGACAAGCACTTTTTTGAGATATAATTCTAGTTTGTAGTTGCAAACTAATATTCTCTCGCCCTGGGGATACATTTATCATCTTATTTATTTTTCTTTTTTATTTTTTCAACTGAAGTATAGCTAGATAAACAATATATTAGCTTCAGGTGTACAACACTTGTATGTATGACATTATGAATCAGTTGCCACAAGAAGTCTAGTTACCATCTGTCACCAGAGAGTTGTAACAGGATCATTGTCCTTATGCTATGCACGACATCCCCGTGACTTATTTTTAACTACAACTTTGTGCCTCTTAATTCCCTTTTTCCCAGCACCCCACCCCTCTCCCAACAGATTTTTCTTTAAGGAAACTTAACAGCTTATTCTGTTAAGCAAGAGAGTTCCAGAAAAACATCTATTTCTGCTTTATTGACTATGCCAAAGCCTTTGACTGTATGGATCACAACAAACTGTGGAAAATTCTGAAAGAGACGGGAATACCAGACCACCTGACCTGCTTCTTGAGAAACCTGGATGCAGGTCAGGAAGCAACAGTTAGAACTGGACATGGAACAACAGACTGGTTCCAAATAGGAAAAGGAGTATGTCAAGGTTGTATATTGTCACCTTGCTTATTTAACGTCTATGCAGAGTACATCATGAGAAACACTGGGCTGGATGAAGCACAAGCTGGAATTAAAATTGCCGGGAGAAATATCAATAACCTCAGATATGCAGATGACACCACCCTTATGGCAGAAAGTGAAGAAGAACTAAAGAGCCTATTGATGAAAGTGAAAAGGAGAGTGAAAAAGTTGGCGTCAAGTTCAACATTCAGAAAACTAAGATCATGGCATCCGGTCCCATCACTTCATGGCAAATAGATGGGGAAACGGGAAATAGTGGAAACAGTGGCTGACTTTATTTTTTGGGTTCCAAAATCACTGCATGTGGTGACTGCAGCAACGAAATTAAAAGATGCTTACTCCTTGGAAGAAAAGTTATGATCAACCTAGACAGCATATTAAAAAGTAGAGACATTACTTTGACAACAAAGGTCCGTCTAGTAAAGGCTATGGTTTATTCAGTAGTCATGTATGGATGTGAGAGTTGGACTATAAAGAAAGCTGAGTGTCTAAGAATTGATGCTTTTGAACTGTGGTGTTGGAGAAGACTTTTGAGAGACCCTTGGACTGCAAGGAGATCCAACCAGTCCATCCTAAAGGAGATCAGTCCTGAGTGTTCATTGGAAGGACTGATGTTGAAGCTGAAACTCCAATACTTTGGCCACCTGATGCAAAGAACTGACTCATTTGAAAAGACCCTGATGCTGGGAAAGATTGAAGGCGGGAGGAGAAGGGGACGACAGAGGATGAGATTGTTGGATGCCATCACTGACTCAATGGGTATGAGTTTGAGTAAACTCCGGGAGTTGGTGATGGACAGGGAGGCCTGGTGTGCTACAGTCCATGGGGTCCCAAAGAGTCAGACACAACTGAGTGACTGAACTGAACAGCTTATTCTAACGTTTATATGGAAGTTTGATCTATAAAAAAGGCCAAACAGGTAGGACACTGTTCAAGAAAAAAGAGAGGAGGTTTTCCTCTAATGGAAATCAAGATTTAAAAAAAGAAAACCTATGGTAATCATGAAATGCAGTACTGATATGGGAATATTCAAATAAGTCAATGGAACAGAGTAGAAAGGGCAACCCAATTCCTGGACACGCTCCTTTATTCATGCTAGAGAGCCCTCTTGCTTCAGCTATTGATGGGTTAGCAAGTATGTATTAAGCACCTATTTGTGCTATGTGCCACAGTGAATGAAAAGTGAAAGTGAAGTTGCTCAGTCATGTTCAACTCTTTGCTAACCCATGGACTGTAGACTACCAGGTTCCTCCCTCCATCCATGGGATTTTCCAGGCAAGAGTACTGGAGTGGGTTGCCATTTCCTTCTCCAGG